GGTGATTCTATAAAAAAATAAATAAAAAAAAGGAATAAATATTTTTCGTCTGAAGTTTCGTTTTCGAGAAAATTGAGTTCGAACATTTATCTAAAACGCGTATATTCGTGCTGGCAATAAGTAGAAACGGCTTGCAATGAACAGACGCGTTACTCACTTCTTGTTCTATTGCCTGTGTGTCCAATTTCTTTTTCAAGTTCGATTATCTCAAAAACGAAGAATTATCCGAAAAGTTTTATCCTTTTTTTCGGCTTATTTTTTTTTATAAAATCACCTTCTGTCCGATTGTACTACCCGACCTGAAACACCCCATATATTGTAAATCCTTAAAATTCACAATTCGATGATTAATCAATATATCAAGCAAAGAAGTACCGAACACACTTAGGAAAAATTAGTACCTATCCAAACTTTAGCCCTTAACTGGTGAGGTGAAAATATAATTGCTTATGGCTTATTACACAAATCTTATTACTTACTACACAACCAGTTATTTGGTATTTTCATATAAGAAAACATGTCAATAAAGAAGGATCTACATTCGTAACTGTTGAATATAAATAAAATATTCTAGAAACATTGATGGGGTCCTCAGACCCCCCTTACCGGTTAAGGTTGAATGCTTGAATGTATCGTAATTACACAGCTTATTCACAGGTAGAATGGTTGACAATTAGAGGTGCGGGGAAAGGGTGCAGGAACGCTGGATGTAGAGTAGGTCGTCTTAACAGCCCCAGAGACACGGCTGGCACATAGAATAATAGGGTATGCCGATGGCCTAGGTTAGTCTCTGTAAGCAAGACCAAAGCTGCACAATGTATGCAAACACTGTAGTGGTCCGGGATTCCCTGGAAATGCTCGAATTACTGCGACTTGTCCAATAGGGCGCGCCCTTTCTCCCTTGTCAGGTTGGCTTTGTTATTTTCTTCAAAACTAATGGAGATGAGACGATCTGTTTTTCTGAAAATACTGGCATGGTACAACCAGAAATAGAACGGGACGCCGCATTTGGGAGCGTGTTGAGATTATTATCGACATTGTTCAAAAGTATTCATTTTCTAATGGTATCTTGTGCATACACTAAATAAACATCAGAGATAGTACACTGTACTCTTCATAAGTCACTGGATACATTTTGATAAAAAATGTAAATTGTGATGCTGTACACTTTTTTCACTTTTTAACGTACTCGTTCATACGTAAAAATGGTTGTTGTTATTCTTGGGTAGGGAGTTGTGTTGCGTTAAAATGAAAAGAAAATGTACGTCAGCTCAAATTACGAATTTTAATCAAAGATTATTCCTTAAAATCGAAACAATTCGTAGAAAAACTCCAACACAAATTTATGAATCGTTGCGGGAAACGTGTGGAGAATCAACTGTACAAAGTTGCTCGCTTAAATTTAAAAACTGTGAAGAGGCATGCTTAATACAGGAGTGTTGATTCTGCACCATAATGCCCGCCCACGTTAGACGGCTTTACATGAAAATTTTTGCGTAGACGATCACGTGAATGTAATTTCTATGTCGATGCAGATGTAAATTCTATGCACGCAAGAGTGCCAGCCAGGGAGTTTTGTTCATTCGTCGACGTTTGAGCGTACGTATGAATCGGGTTATTTGGTACTGTCGTTTTCCTTGAAAGCATTAAGTACGGCCGTGAGCCGATGTATTAAAAAGCTAAACTTCAAGAAAGAATTAACTGGTATTCTAGTACATAGATCACCAGGAAGATTAGATTGAAGGGCTATAAAAGCATTTTAAAATTAAATAATTTCTTTTTCATTTATACGTATTTGTGCATTACTTTTGGGATGGCCCTCGTATTTAGTATGGTTTAGCTTTACGCAGACAGTGACTCTAAACTTGACTTCGACAGCTTTATAAATACCTTATGTTAAAATCAGAACTATTTTCTAAAAATTGAAAATAATTGTCAGTTTGAAATTGTGTAATAATTATTATAGGGGACCCATTCTAATAGAATCGAAATGTTGTGAATTACATCAGTCAAGAAAATTAGTAACACATTTCGTATTTACGAAAAAGATTACAGACTAGAATATAATAAATTGAAAGATAGTTTTGTTCATCGTCAAAATATTCTAATTATTTCAAGTGATTCGCTTCATAAAAGATAAATGCATTGATAAAGAAATTTATAACTCTTCGCACCACGCATTATAGTGTACAATATTTTTACAATAGCATTGTAAAACGACGATAGCAAGGACTGGATATTACTATAGGAAGTTAAAGTCATTACATGAAATTATATGACTTACCTGTGTACTTTTACTCACCTCAGAATCCATGGTATAATTTCGATCTGGATTTCAGGATCAGTACAGAATAATGAAAGTCCTATGAAAATGAAATTTTCTAAAATTTACTATTTAATTTTAATATGAGTAATATTTTTCTAAATTTCAAGTATTAAATTTTATTTTCGTTTTACCTGGACCGTTTAGCTTTTTATTAAAATTGATTTCCTGCACTGTTGAGGGTACAAAAGAACTTGTTAATGTATTCTCACATTTTAATTTCATCGAAAGAAATTTTATTATTTTGTACTAATGAAAGAAGTAAAGTATATATGGAAAAATATCTGAATATTAGAAGTTATCAGTACAGATATTGAAGAGTCAAGATTCCACACACTGGAACAGAATATTCTGTTACATACATATTGACGACTTGATCCTTTATACCATCGTGTGATTTTCAAATTACATACTTATTTATTTACGTATATTGTCTTGTGTCTACTTTATTGTATATATCTACTATGAAATAATTTTTCATTATTTGGACACATTGGTTCATAATAAAATACATAAACTTTGAATGTGATTTATTAATTGATACTGAATGTTTAATTGTTATCTGCTCATTTTATTTAACGAAATGATATTCGCACACGAACAAACTTTAGTTATAGAGTGTTAAAATACAAAAATAAATAAATTCTGAACAATATAAAGCACGATATAAAAAATACATGTCACAAAATTAAATATATATTCAAAATATAACATAATAGGTACATGAAAAGTATCAGACTAATTTTCAAAAATATATAGCAATGGTTATATTAAAGAGTAAATAAAAAGAGTATTTTCAATTTATAAAACATTGATGATACTATGAGAATTGGGATGTTACACATCACAATTGAAGAACAAAACTCAAAACACATACACAAAATAAATCTTCGTTATTCTTAAAATAATCCGCAACAGAAATACAATATTACGGTGACATTAAATTAAATATGCTTTAAGTTGTCGAATACGTCCCAGACAATTTTTGCAAGTATAAAATTAAATAAGTTTTTATAAAAGAATAGTTAAGCTGTTTTCCCAAAAAATTGAAAATACCGTTTGAAAATAATGAAAATTTACAGAGGCTAAGGAAATGCTTGATTCCCATGTAATATTCAACAGTAGGTATTGTAAACTGGTTTACGATTAATACTAGAAATCAGAAATTAAGAACAGACGATTTGTAATGCAAAATATTTTACACATTGTAATCTTACATCGATAATGTCTGTTTTTCTTCATTTTCTACAAATATCATATTATTTTGTCATTTTCATGTCCCGCAAACGATGCCCATTTCGATCAAGAACAATTATACTTTATCCACGAATATGCATTGTACATATATTGTCTGTTCAACACTATACGTAATAGGGAATCGGAGGAAGAACGTATTCGCCAACCTGAAATTATGCTCAAAATGAAAGGTTAGTGATAACGCTTATATTCTACGCCGTCTGATATTGAAACCCTCTCAAATCGTCAGAGAAACGGGTTCGACCATCGCGTGTTTGGCGCTCGAATAAAATTTTCATGGGACTTTCACCACCGGGCCGATGCACACGTGCTCTCCGCTACGTAAGATTTCCTTCACGTTCGAAATGGAGAAGGCGAAACGAGTTTGGTCAATGCGATCGCATCGACGAATTCGGCTCACGTGCGACCAAAATTTCGGATCCTCGTTTTGTACGTTTTTCTCGTTTCTTAATAGAGAGGACCGGATAGGGAAAAGGATTCTGGGCTGGCCGACAAGTAGGCAAGGCTCGTTTCTGTAAAACAGATGAAACGTATTCTCTTTATTTTTGTACGCCATCGAGTATTTATCTTACGTGACTGAACAATCCTCCCCCTCGTTCTCCTTAACACATGACTTTTTAGCGAATGAAATTCGGACATTGGTGACTACACACTAGAACCAGGCTTGTCTCGCCTATTTACAATAGATCTTTGTACAAAAACTAATCTCATATAAACAGTAAAACACACGTTCTCGTGTCAGGTTCGTTTTATGAACGGAAACGAAGACTCGGTACCCGACCGTGTCCGTTAATGTAGTGACGTTGTTTCGTTAAATTGTTAGCTACCTTCGCTACCTTACTGCTCTCTCTCTCTCTCTCTCTCTCTCTCTCTCTCTGACACACACACACGCGCGCTCTCACTCTCTCACTCTTTCTCTCGTTTCTCGCGAACGTGAGCAAACTCTATTATAAAAAATCTCCCGGTAGAAAACGAACGAACGATCCGAACAGAATCCCATCGCCTTTCGATGTACTCCGTCAACCATCGAAGTTAATACGTCTCGAGTCTCTTTCTCTAATCGCCGAGGCTTCATTAACTTTGCGACCTAACTCGCGACACTAACACGTTCAATTTCAGTCCGTCGACGAATCACCCGGGTCGATATCTCGATAATGGTCCGCGTTCCCGTCATGACGGTCCTGGAGTTCTTTGTCAGTTTTGTACAGTGAAGAAAGTTCGTAAGGATTTCACGAAGTCGCGATCGCAGGAAGACCCCACTTGGCGATCCAATTCGTGAGTGCCCAGGCCTGTTCCCCCGGAGGGTTCACGTATCGAAACGTTGTCCGTGTTACTCTCCGGCACGCGATCGGCGATCGACACGAACGTTCACATGGATCGTTCCAGTTTCGGGGCGGGAGACATTTCTCGCCAACAGCGTTTATATACAACTCTCCTGTATCCGATTCGAGCGCGTCACCACTTCCGGCTGGTGGAACTTGCCCTGCGCCGAGACGGACGAGGACACAGGCCTTTGCGGCATCGACGAAAGACCTTTTCTCGACCTTTGGAGACTGTAGTAGACCTGGAATCAATTGAACTCGTGCTTCGTTTTGGGTCGAAACTTGGGCTTCAGGCTTTTTCAAGCGGTGATTTTGTACTGGGTGATCAATGAATTAAGGCGTGACACTACAGGGTGTTAGCACCATAACGCGCGGTTTTCTTGAACAAAAAATCATTAAAAGATCACCTCTTTACATTCATGCAAGTCATTATTTGAACACATTTTTGTATAATACTTACACATACGAGGACAAAAAAATCAAAACGTTAATTTTACGTCTGCAAGTTATGTACGTAGAATGTAGACACAATAACTACAATTGTTCTAAGGACAACAGAAAATTAAAATTTTTACCTTGTTCTGTATCATTACAACAATGAATGAAACTGATTGTCGAAATAATAACAATCGTAAATGCATGTGTGTGTGTGGATAGTCACAATATTTTATGCTTACAGAAATTATATAAAATTAGGTTAATTTATGCAAATACTAAAATAATAATTTTTTTTACACAATTATGACTTTCTTCAGGTTATTTTTTATTGTTCGTGTTTATTGGGGCATGTAAATTATGGTAACATGGCTGCTCGAGTTAACTCGAGCGTGCACATTGCTGCCAATAGCGTCCACTCGAATTAAGTCGAACGTGCGCGTTAATAAATTAATAAAAATGTGGCACACATGTGAATCTAAGACGAAAATCAAGAATGATGAAATTGCATTGGAGGCTTCGTTTCTGAGCGATTAATTGTTAAAAAGACGGGTGAAATACGCGTAAAATGCGTCTGACGTGACGGGTTATTCTACTTGAAAGGCGCGTCCTTCAACTGTTTCAAATATTGATTTCATCCATTTCATTTCATTAAATTTCATTCATCGTGTGAGATGTGTTTCACGCATATCTTGCCCATACTTGCAATACTACTACATAAGTGGTACCTTATTCCGATCATCGTAATATTTTCTAAGCACTCAAAACATTTGACGGTAGGAAGCACTTGACATCCGCGTTGAATGAATTTTTACTTCAAAATATTCAAAATTTTTCGAAGAAGGATTCTAAAAATCAGCTGACAGATGGGAGAAGGTCATAGACAGAAATGGTTCATACATCAATGGTTAAAAATGAATGTAAGTAGTGACTAACTTTGATTTTCAATTGCATAATGTTGTCACTGTTGATCAATATTCAGCAGAACCGAGTTCTTAAGAAATTAATAGTTTTTTAGTTACCACAGTAATAATATTATAGAAGACACGCTGCTCATAGGCGGAGATTGGAATTTGACATTCTTAAAAAATTATTTTCTTAATACTGTATAATAACTGTCTGTCACTATTAGTCGCATTGTGCACCAGTAAACAATGTTTTCTTTCTCAAAAAGTATGTTACTATGTTTACCGTACGGTTATCAAGAAATAATTTCTCGATTCTGGACGTAAACTAACGAATCGATGTAAGTACTCTACTGAGGGGATACATAGGAAGCGCAACGTAAATAACAATTAATCGATTTATGGAGTTTAAAAGACATAAATTATTATCTGTTATAAAGTTTCATCGAACAAATAAATTGAAAATTATTCAGGTACGATGTTGACACGGGTGTACGTTCACTGTACTGTAGCTGTGAAGCATTTCTATGTGTAATAGTGTATTCGTAGAGGTGTTTCTTAAAGCACTTCACTAATAATAAATTCTATAATAATTATATATGTATTCATTGCATTGTTTTCATTGAAAAAAATCTCCAACTTCAACTCATCTGAAGAATTTTAAAGAATTTATAACGAATTGTGTACTATAATTTAGTGAAACGTACGTATTAAGTGAAAACTTTAAATCATTTTATTAATTATATTTTTAAAATTCGCGGCAACACTTATTTGGTGAAACAAACCGATCTATGATGTTCGGAGTCGAGCAAAAGTTCCCTGCTTATAGTATACAATTTTTCAAATGCTAAGATTCAACTTTAATCGGAATAGAATATTTACACCTTGAAAGATCTAAAAATCTATAGACATGGTATAGTACCAATTTAAAATTAAGGTGTATGCTAAAAGACATTGATGTTATTAAATCTCCAATGAATTAGAAACTATTTACATAGTTTTATAGTGAAATGAGTGTTTCTTAACCCGGCAGCGCACACGTAAGGGGTCTAGTTGACACCTATCCCTATACAATTCTCATGTAGTCTATTGTTTCTTCGGAAATATTGTCGGTACTCAGTCTAGCTTCAAATTTCGAAAAAGGTGACGTTGTTTTCGAATCCTGAAACAAATTTGGCAAAAGGCGGCTAAATACTGTGGAATGGAATTTCTGGAGCTTACGCGACAACACAGTCGGCAACGAAATCCAGATGCACCATTTACCCCAAAAGCAAAGATATAAAAACGAGGTCTTTTTGTGATAAATATTATACAAAAATGTGTTTGAAACATATGAAGAATATTAGCAAAACATGTTGTGGAACAGATTCGACAGAAAATGCAAATGACTGGTCAGATGACTAGTTTATAAGTTGTTTCCTTATTAACTTTTACTGTTTTATAGGATGGAGTAATGTTAATATTTGTTTAGATCTATAGTGTTGCAGCTTTAACAAAGAGTCACAGTGTATCTAGATTTTCATGTATCGTGGTTAATAAATGTTACATTTTACAGGGTGTACATAAGCATGTCACGTGGACACCAGTATTTCAAATGTTCACGTGTGCACTATCGAGTTAAATGTTACTTATTGTTAATTAAGGAACACCCCACAAGACACTGATTTTTTGGTGTTCTGCATAATACCTGCAGAATGAATAAAAATAAATAGCCTTGGTAACAAAAACAGGCTTGAAATTGGGGAACCATGATCATTTATTCTTTCTTTTATTACAGCATCTCGTACTACCAGCAACAAGAATGAAATTCTTTCAATGGCCCAAATAAACTAGGCATATATGTGCAATATAAATCTCTAATTTCTACTATAACCGAAAAAAATTCATCGAACAGTGTGCAGCATTATAGATGCACCAACATTAGTCGATATTACAAATTTGAAGGCGCATTGATAAGGGAAGAATAGTCAAACAGGTAAGGATAATCGAGAAGCATGGGTTCGCGTAATTCTCGGGAAACAAAAACATTGGAAACGAATAGCGGGTCAGTTAACTGATGGTGGAGTAAAAGAGAGGGTAGGGGGAGGCAATTCGGTATTAAAATTATTCAGACATTTAATGGAACGCGACCAGCGTCGAAGGGAAACGGAAGTCGAGTTCGAGACGAGAGTTACGCGCATCGGGACTGGCCCTCTCGAATTATCGAGAAAACTTGGACGTAATTAAACTCGCGGAAGCGTAGATAACCCAAGGCTTCGCTAAACCGGAAAAGTTAAAGTGGAAGACTGCCGCATATTAAAGCAACCGATCCCTTCGTCTTGGCTCGTATCCCATTCCCTTCGTCTTCGGGAACTTCGGATATTTAAAACAACCGTGGCCTGATGTAGTGACGAGGGATCGACGAAGGCGAAGTCGTGGCAACGGAAGGGTCGATTGTATTACTTCCTGCGGCGAAGGAAAAGAAGAGAAGAAAAAACGAACGCGATTTCCCTGCTGAATATTTTATCACGCTCTTATCGATCGTTCATTTCTATTTTACCACCCCCCCCCCTTCCCTGTGATCCTCTCCCGCGGCACGTTATCCCACCTGTCTGTGGCAAAAGGGAGCGTTAATTGCGTCTCATTAATCAAACCGCTTCAACTAAATATACTCTATTAGATATCGCGAAAAAAGGGACAGATTAAATTTACAGACCGTAATGAGTTTACGAGGCTAATTATCGGGATGATTTATACACTCGCGTGGACGATAAACTAACTCTACATCCGCTCTATCGTTTGACCCTCGATGTATAGGCAGACGGTAACGAAAAGTGCGAAGAGGAAGAGAAAAAAGCTTCGTTTTGGTTCTCGATTCTTGTTAACTCTGCTTCTCTGTAGTATTAGGTTACTACATGCGAAATGATACTTTCAAAATACCTGTAACGGAATATAGCTTTTTTTTTAATATGTTACATACGTGAAAAATTTCTAATGATTTCTACGCGATTTTTATTCTCTTTTACCTAAAGACGAACTTTACTACTTTCATGAAAATTAGAACCTCCAACACATAAGTTCCTCTTCTGCCTTGTTTATAATTTCTTCATTTGTAAATAATTTTCTTCAGAGGAGGATGTAATATTACAAAGATTAACAAGTCTAAATAATTGTACGCTTTGCATTAATGTGTTTTCTTATAATATAATGTGATTATTCATCAAGTTTGGCGAATAAAACATGTAACGATCATTACTACATAATAAGTTTGCCCATGTAAATTATTTATAAAGCCGTCAACTGCAACAGTTTTTTTAAATTAAAGTTTTTACCTTAATTAAAAGAATAAAATAAAGAAATTGATTTATATTTTACTGCAAGCATGTTTAATCTGTTATTCGTAACACACGTGATTAATCCAGGAAATTAAATAAATCTAAAGTGTACATGATATTTATGTTTGATATTACCTATTGAACACGTGAGAGAAATCTGTTAAATACTTTACAAGCGACCCTAAAACCTTCAGAGACTTTATCTGTGAAAGCAATTTATATCTGAATAAAATTATTTATAATAAAATAGCATCATGCACCACTAGCTGCAATATAATAAATTAAAATTTTTCAACAAAATTTTTGAACGCGCCATATATATGTATATTACTGGAAATAAGTATATAAGTCAACTTATAACGGCACTTCATACATAAATATGAGTTAGCTGATTTACAGCCTCGATTTCGAGTGTAGTGAAACCCCGATTATCTGAATCCGGAGTACATCGATTTCCGATTACACAGACATCGATCCTATGACTTCCAATTATCCAAATATATGTATAGTGTGATCCATCATAGATTCACCGTCCAATTATCTCATCTACGATAGAAATGTGAAATATAACCCAAAATAAATTTTTCAACCCAATATTTAGAATGCATGAATTACTATGAAAATATATTCTTCCCATAAGATTAAACACATTTATATACGAAGTTAATTTTTCAATTCTTTGGCTGCTTTTAATCCCTAGATATTTTCAAAGTTACTGTATTACATTTTAGCAAATTTAATTCCCGACAAAACGAGCAAAAAAAGATAAAAATTTGTTGAGAATTCACTGAGTTACGGAATTTTGTCCCCAGAGTTACTTTGGAACCACTGTGTGGAGCGCGCAATGGAACAAACTGCTCATTTTTGTGTCACAATCGTAGACCTTTTGATAGAAATAAAATAGGGAGATAAATCTTTTTCAAGATTAAAGCTAAAATGCTGCAGAAGCAGGGAAAAATATAGAGGTATCATAAACAAGTTTTGACCTTGAAAATCTATGTCAAACTTTATACTTTGGAAGGAAATTGTGGTCTTTTCGTTATAATGTGTTGTTGAATTTTGTCCTTGACTTGTACATCATTTCTTGTAGACTTGACACGCTGCACTCAAATCTGGCTGCAGAATTTACTTACTTGTATAGGATTTTAAGAAAAATGCGACAAGTGAAAAGAGTCGATACAAAACATGATTATTCTGGTTTATATGATTTGATAACACTTTAGTTCAACTGAAGTCTATATACATGCATTCACAATAAACTAAATTTACTTTTTTTTTAGACAACACATTGATGACTTCTTTTTGACGCCTTTCCGATTATGTAGGATAAGGCCGCAGAAGTTGGACCATTGCCTAGGTTGGACCACTACTGTAACGTGTACTTGTAAACAATTTTTGTCGTCTGATAGACCATGTATGTATGATAGTGGTGATTCGATTAAGTAACTTAGTGTATTAGCAACACATAAATAGCTTACACATGACAAGTCACAATAGTGGTCTAACCTAGGCAATGATCCCAATACGGCAACCTTCCCCTACATATTTTATTAGTTAGGAGCTGTGCTTTGTATTCAAATAAAAGAAGCATTATCTACTGCAGAAATCTAATTCGTTACTTTTAGCCAATCCAATATTTATCAGGATAAGCTATGTAAAAAGGAAACTTTTATAATAAATTTTTATAATAAACATTGTGTGTTAATCCGCAAAATATGTTGGTTTGAAACTTACATTTTGGTTGTTACGCTGGTTATATGCGTCCATAGCCATCTGCTTGAAGTCCGCCATAGTGGGTGCATGGTTGTAAGTGTTCGACTGTGGAATATGGTTCGGTTGGTAATTTATAGTTGGCGTTGGCAGGCAGTCGCTCAAGATCGGATCTGGAGGTAAATCCAATCCATGCTCCACAATCGGTCTCTTCTCCGGCGAGATCGCGTCGTCTGTCACACGATCCTTCTTTCTCCTTTGTGGCGGTGTCTTGTATAACGGTGTGTATGTTAGGGGTCTTCTCTCTGTGAACAGATTCGACGAAGCCATGTAAAGTTCCATGTCCGCTAAGCAGATTACTCGATTAAATCTAGACAAGAGCGGTCTTTTCCTGGACAATAGGTCAGAAACTTATAACACGGAGGATTTATTTAAAGTTCCAAGCGCAAGTATCTTTCGGGTCGCGATTTATGGGCTTAACTTCTGTTAAATTTTTAGTGACTACTTTGAAACGGAATGAACGCCAAATAATTTGATTTAAAGAGATTTCTATTCAACCTACTTATCTCAAGAGGTATATATTATTTTTAATATTAAAGAAATTATTTCTATTTGAATCACCGAGGAATTTTTTTCCATTATGATAACCCTAGACCACAAAGGATAATGACAACCTTCTAAAAAATTGATAATTATAATTGCGAATTTATACCTCATCCACCATACTGCCTAGACCTTGGACCAACCGATTATCATCAAATTCGAGCATTACAACATTTTGTAACTGGTAACAGATTCAAGAATAGTGAGCACGTAAAATCAGCGATCAATGAGTTTTTTTTTAATTGAAAACCTCCAAAATTAGTTGAAGATTGAGTCCAAAAATTAGTTGAGGAATGGGAAAATGTTATTGAAAATGATGGCCCATACATCTATGATTAAAACTAAACGTAAGTATTATTATTTTACACTGAAAGTTAACCTCAAAAATGGCAATACTTATGGGACGATCTAATATGTTTTATAGAATATACGTACAAATATTTATGTGTATATTTTTGTGTTTCAATGAACGAAGTATTTACAAATTAAATAATATTAATTTATCAGTATGTTCTCGAATAGAAATAAAAAGAGATATTGCATGAAAACCGGTTAAAGAATAGTTCTTTATTACTGCGTCCAATATCCTTCTTGCAACTATTTAATGGAACCTTTTGTAATCAATTTGTATACACCATTTTTCGCAGTTCTAGTAATAGTTGGACCGTTTACTTTTGAAACATATAGCACATCAAATTAGTTTTAATAAAATTATTTTGTCGTAAACATTGAAGCAATACTACAGAAAGTTGATGAAGGCCTATTCACCGCTCCTCATTGTTCCTAAAGGTACTACATTTTCAATCCATCAAACGTGACAATGTATTGCAAGAATCACTAGTGTGTGGCATGAAAATATGTTTCATTGAAAAACATCACAATAGAACTTATTAGTAGGATACTGATTCTGTATTTATGTGTATCTAACGTACAAATCCGTGTGAAATAAAACAAAATAAAGCATTCAATAGAATTGTCAAAAGTACTTCTATTTATTTATATCTAAATTAAAAGTTTAGGATACCAAATAAACCTTTTTAACACCTATATCTGCGAAGTACTGCAACAAAACGCTTAGTTCATTGTTTGTGGTCATTAAGGATCAATTGAGTAAGAAGAAATAACATATCTAATGTTTCTTCATGCCAATTAATGCCAATAATGGGACAGGCACATTATTAATCTATACTGTGACCTTGAATATTTTAAAAAAGAATGTGTTCAGGAAAGAGAAACCGACACTCCTGTTTTTAAGTATTTCAAGATCGAAATTCAAATAACGTGTCGAGTGAAACATTAACAATAGCAATCAATACTAAAACAATTATGTAATTAATAAAATAGCATATAATTTGTTGTACAAAATAAATGTAAATATTAGACTATTTCCTATGTATTCATGTTCTCAATATTCATATTTACGGATACAAGTCTGATTGTGATTTATTGTTAGTAGATTTGGTCAGCCATTAGTCAGGCGTTTAGTACATTCGATTAGTATGAACTGCAATTTAATTTAAAGTTATAAATTTAGAATAAAAGTTGAAGGCAAATTTTGGAAATTCAGTTTAACTTCATATTTTCCATTTAAGATCTATTATAAAAATGAGAGTCTCGTAATACGGTTTGATGGGGACAGTGATAATACTGTAACTAATAGTTTAAATATTTCAAACGATCATCTTTAATCAAAAACATTATGTTGCATTAGGTGTGATTCTACGTGAATAAATAAGTCGAAAATATAGAATAAAATTTTTTCATTTTTGATTTTGTTTTCGAGATTATCGACTTTGAAAATCTGCTGGGTACGCGTGCAATTGAATCGGGCTTGGCTAGCGCGTCTGTTCGGTGTATTCCGTTTCTACTTACCTACTACCATGACGAATACATGCGTTTCAGGTTAATTTCCGAAGTCAATTTTCTCGAAAACAAAGTGTCAGATAAAAAACCTGTATTTTATATTTTCGAATTATTTTTTCATGCAGAATCATCCCTTACCTGTTTGTACTACCAATTACATACATGACACTCTATACACTATATGTATACTCAACTGTAAGTTTATTACTTCAAATAAAAAAGAAGTACTAATAATTTGAAATTAATGCGTCTTTCGTCGATATTACGGTGAAACAAATTATTTAAGTAATCTTCCATATTTATCACAATTAACTTTATCAAAATACCGCTAACTGAGGCGTGTAAACATAGGTAAAACTTGTCAATTTCTTTCATGGATACTTACTAAATGAAATTTTGCAAGTTTTTATAGGATATAAATCTAGCGTATGGCTGTATTCTCCAATTTTTAAAAAGTATAAATGTTGCAAAACAGCGGAGTTATTCGTTAAATCCTGAAAGCCAGAACATCGATTGCTGACCACCATCGTCGGCGAGGTCTGTACCGTCCGAAATAAAAAAGGCTCTTCGATGTATAAATAAGCATGTATTACCAGTAATGTAGCGTAGAAGTTTCCAGTGTTCCCTCTTAACATAAACGTCACCAGAAACAGAAGTGTTTTCCATTAAAAACAGACCAGGCCGTATCGAAAACCCGAGGAACTATTTGCATAACACGACACCGAGGCACAAACCCTCCGTCCATAACGTCCCACGAAACTTTCACTCGCGTGATCCGATGTCTCGACAGCAGAAAAACCGCGCAATTAAATTAAATAACCAATAAAATCGCGAGCAACGAAAAGAAAAGATTAAAGTATCGCATGCCGCATTCGAGCAACTTTTCATCGAGATAAAGGTAGAAAAGTGGCCTAGGCGGGGTTAGAGAAGAGTGTCCGTGTACGCGGTTGTGCGCGCCCGCATGTGTGCAGGGCCGCACGGGAGCCTTGTGTGTTGCACGTAGGCCGTAATTTGGCGCACGTTTCGAACAATCGGAAACTCGTAGACTCACCATACTCGTTGGGTATGATGTCCGGATCGATGTCATCGACCGCCTGCTTGGTCTGGGGGTGTACTGGGGTGGTTGCACCTGCATTAGGTGGCTCGCACACGATGGGAGCGTGCTTTGGACTTCCGGGCCGGCCGTTCGAGTGCTTCCGGCGCAGAGCCGCCACGATTCCGCATGCGACCAGGGCCAAAAGAGTCACTGTTGCTGCGAGGCCCAGCAGCAACGGGGTCAGTATCGATGCGTCCGTGGTACCTGTTATAGGAGCAATGGAAAATGCTCGATCAACCGGAACATATATCGAGCTTACCTATCTGCTCCTCTCTACCTTCATCTCCGTTTTGTCCCCCGCTTCTCTCGATTATTTGCCGGCAAGTATATTTTTATACCCACGATAACACCAACTTTCTACCGTTCTCGTCATGGACATTGTTGGCCGACGCTGTTAAATTTATTATCCACTATGTATTTTTACCATTCGTCCTATTCCTTGACCAGTTGCATTAGTTCCCTTCATTATTCGTGCCGAGCGATGTGTTTGCTTTTAATATATTCAACGGTGATCGTGTTCTACCTTCCCAGCGACTGTTTGCAGTTTCTACTATATCGGTTTTAGTTTCCATTTAAATTTTTCCTGGTATTCTTTAGAACATTGTGCTGTTTCGCGTGGGTGCATAGAAATGTTTTCTATCGTGTAGGATGACTGAGAAGTTATCAACGTATGGTACTCAGTGGAATATTCAGAAAAATGTGAATCAACACGGGACTGGAAAGTAAAGTGGAAGCAAATAAAACAAGATGCACAAGAATGATTGCTGAGAGTTAGTCTTTTATTTGTAGCTTCTTGCTTTATTTATTTCTACTTGGTGAAGCGTGAAAATGGGCACGAAAAAAAATTTCTGCTGGCATAGTTCAATATGCTCTACATTCATGCGAAGTTTCATTAAAATCAGAATTTTCGGGTTCGGAACCTTCCTTTCTGAGAAATCAGCATACCTTTTTATAGAAATCAGGAATTTGTAGTACTGTTTCATTTATATTCGTAATGATTCCTCGACATTTTACACTATTGTTGTAGAGTGAAGGATCAGGCAAATAATTGTAATTTAAAATAGATCTCAGCATAATAAGAGAAATAGTGTATTCCTCGTAGATACATACAATATTAGTGAGACTATGTGGGTCAGAAGTAATCTGACTCCGTTTCCAGTTTCGCTGTGCGACCATCCGTCTGTTAAATAGTAAACCGTCAAATATGTAATATTTATATATTTATTATAATATTATATATAGATAATGGGGTAATGGCGGTTCGCGGGCAATGACGGTCAATATTACAATTACAAAATGAAAATGCCTAAGGCGTGCAACTGCTGTCGTTTACATCCCGCGATACCCACTACTGCAGCCCTGAATGGCCGGGCTAATTGTAAGTCATTTGCAACGCATTCGAGAATAATACGTCCTAACTTAAGAAGTAAGTACTCTTATTAGCTTTTTCGACATTTTAATTTTATTGAAATATAGCTAAGTTGTAAAGAAAAAAATCGTACTAGCTATAGGCTAAATATGTTTTTTTTAAATATATGATATTTAATTTTATCAATTAATATTATATTCGGCCAATGGTAGTCACGATAATTACTGAATACTGAGGTACTTATATAACTTTGTGTATTAGAATAATTTTACTTTGTAGATGGCAGCAATACACCCCGGAAAAACTAGAAAAACCAGGTGGACTTTGGAAACAGTTCAGAAAACAGTGAAGCTTGTTGAAAAAAGTCAATCGATACGACCAACTTCAAAAGCAAGAAACAGAAGGGTCTACAGAAGCAACCTTCTAAAATTTTACTTCGTCGTCTACTACTCAGCATACTGCTATATATGTTTGTATGTAAAAGCTATTTGAGACTACGAATTGCAATTGCCCGCAATGTGACCGCTATTACCCACCAGTGTGGACAATAGCCGTCAAAAGCATTTCTTGTTGGATTATTAATTTTACCTAAGAAATTAATACCAAAGTGATTATCTTGGTATTCACTGAATAGTATAATAGTTTAAGTTTGTAACGTGCAATAAATATTTCATCATTTATTTTCATCTTATTACAGTTATTGGTTAAATCACCGCCATTGCCCTGTTTAGCCTAATCTGCTGTATACAATTGTTACTCGTCGTATAATTATTCAGTTGTGCACTCGTTAATCGAAGGTTGATCCAGGAACATTGGTGTCAAACGGGTCAGGTTAATCAGTAAGACGATAAGTAGGTAACGATGATACGTGAATTATGACGCTATTACGGTTTAGCCGATGAACAATATATGTATAACTAGATGACTGTTCTTGCATTGGCTCCTCTCAGTATGTCAGTCTCTGAGCACGTAGAAACATGCGGCTGCGTGAATGTGGACGCGCGAAAGCGTATGCACGCGCCGCTGCGAGGGGGTGAATCGTAAATCAGCCATTAGGAGCTGCAGTCGCTTTGGGCTTTAATCGGGGTAAAGCTAGTCGCGCGCCGATGTTACGCGTTGTAAATTTTGTCGGGCGCATAAAGCGTTGTAAATTATTAATCGAACGTTCCCGCCAGACTGTTTTTTGATGCGATCCCACACTCACACCGATCGACGCCCCATGGACCAGTGTTAATTGGCGTTCGTGTGAGCTATCCACGTTTGACGAGTACTAATAAGGATGTATGGTTTCGATACGCAACTTCGTTTATCAGCAATCGCGTGCATTGCCCAGAGGCATTTAATCGAGATTCTTTGCGGAATATCGGTGGATACTCCGAACACGCTTGAAAAATATAATTCAGGCGATCTTATATTTTAATGCGATGGTGTCCCACTGATTTGGAACGACGTTTCAGACTTATGTTCGAAAACTTTTATGCTGGACGATTTTTATATCGAATTGGAGGGATGAAAACTTTTTATAGGTAAGTTTCATTATGGAAATTGTATAAGGTGTACCAATAAGTAGTCAATAGACTGCGGATATTTATGCACAATTACAATTTTGGGCATTACTATGTAAGAAACAAAATTGCACAGAATTTTCTTTCTAATTCTAGGGGTTTTGATGTAGTAACAATAACACGTAAATACTATTAAGTTTTACTAGAATCTTTATTTTATTACGTTTTGTAAATCCGAAGGCGCTATAAAGACATAAATATCCGAAATGTAATAATTAACTATTACTTCACGAAATTGGTCAAAAATTATCTTTTCAAAAATGGGCGTTTTCGTTTCGGTTTATGTAGAAACACCAATTTCGTATGATACAACATAATGAATCTGTTTGTGTCAGTTTCAGTTGAAAGGAAATGAACTAAAAAAGAAATACATCACTTTAACTTTTCCGACATTCTGTGTTTTGTAAAAATGTAAAAATTAACCGTAAATACTTTTGGAATTATTTTTTTATTCGCTTTCATTAGTGCTAAGAACTATTTGTAATTCATTAGCGGCAGTAGCCGTTTGCGTTGTATCGTTCCAGATTTCTTGCGAATATATCGATTTTATTTCATGCAGTTTTCAAATATGATCCACGAACAGAATGGCTCGGTGAATACGAAATTTCCATGAAAATGAAACGAATAAAGCGCTAAAACTATCCGCGGTTAATCAGACGTGACAATAAAACGAGAACGTTTATGGAAGGCAGCAATCTGGTAATTTCTAGAATCGCATGACAGATCCCGATAAACTAATCTGTCTCTCGGCTATAAATTATTAGGGTATCGTAAAATGTTGTTACGTAGATTTTTAAATATAGAATATATAAATTTATGAATGTTCACAATAATATTATAATAAAAATATTATTTAAAAAGATTATAAATCGTACTAAAATATATTTCGAAAATTAAAATTATTTTGTGTTGTCATTATATCATAATTTGAAATTTAACGTTTTAAAACACGCAATATTTTGTAGGTCGCCGAAACAATATATTTTCCTGCTACGTCCATTTGCGTAGTAATTTAATCTACAATCAGTTTTACGATATATTCGTTTTTGTATAAAAGCAAAGCACTTTATTGTTCCAATAAATGATAAACGATTGGAACTTCGGTTGAGAAAATTCGAAATTTCATATTCAGGCAAAATTTTCTTTGTTAACAGGGTAATACATCTTCCGTTGTCACCATTTTTGGGAAAAACAGGATAAAAAGGCACTTAATCATTGTGTATGGATTGTGACTACCTACTTATTAAAAAATTAAATCTGTAAAGCTCTAATTTGGTAGCTCGTATAATAACAACAAAGGACTCTTTAACTGATTACTGCGAATATGTAATTATAATTAGAAATCTGTTGTGCAACTACTTTGTTGAATCCTAAAATTAAAAACCATAATTGTAGTTATGGTTACCAACCTTAGTGATATAATTGTTATTGGTATGCGCTTGCAAGATTTATGATGCAAACAAGCAGAGGTCCTCAAAGACATACACAAATTTACACATTCATCGCTAGTCAGGTCCAGGGCCTTCACTTTAATTATGATCAATAAATTATCATCCTCTATTGACATTTTAATTAAAACAATTCACGTAATCCTCTTACAATATTCAAGTAATCATTACATAAATATTCTATAGGTAAAAGTGAACTAAAATTAAAGTCAAGTTATGAAAATATATTAGCTTGTATCTAAATGGAATAGAATTCATAAGTAGAATCTATGTATGCATTTCTCAGAACAAAATTAAGAAATACATGTATATTGTTTTCGTATCGTAAGATTAGAATTACTAGTGTCAAATGTGTAGGTGCTAAACCAAATTGTATAATATAGCGGTATATCTAATATATAATATGTATAATTTAGCACAATGTAGTATAAAGTATAAGAATGTAGTATAAGAAATTTCCTCCGAAGATTGCAAAAACATTATTAATTCAATGTCACAACGAATTAAAGCAGTAATACATAACAAAATAGTAGCACCAAAAATTGTTTGAATTGACAGATCAGATCGGAAATTTTTTTCCAGGAATTCTCTTAATCGGAAACTTTCTCCCGTGTAGTATTTCATTTCCTATCGTGTTTCTTTTTATTGTTATTTACTTCGTATTAAGCTCCTTTCAATTTCCCATCACGTCTATCTTTATATGATAGTATTTTATAGTTCTGACATATGAATGCTCTCAGTGAATTTCGTATACATGCGTGTAATCGGAAACTTTCTGCCAGGGGTTGTAATAGGTCGTCTTGGCTTCAACCAAGTACTTAG